GAGAGGGGAGGCCCCCCCCCACGCTCCCTTCGCGCCTAGCCCCCCCCCAAAAAAACCCCACCCCAAACAAATCCATGCCCCTGGATGCCGAGCGAGGACTGGGATTTGGTAAGCGATGCCAGGGCGATAAGACTGGAGTTTCCCCCCGGAGCCTGAAGGAGGATCGCTAGGCGGTTCCAGGAGGACGCGGGGCTGCAGGTAGGTGAGAGGGGCCGGCTCCAGATGTGCGGGCTCCTGTGCGCTGCTCTCCGGCTCCCCCGCCCTTCTGCTGCTGCTAGGGTACGTGTGTGTGTCTGTGTCTGGGGTATGTGTGTGTGTGTGTGTAAGGGGGATTTCCCCCCTCTCGGAAACACCACGTTGCGTGTGGCCCCTTCATGCCAGAGTCCTTGGGGAGGGGAGGGGGACACCGGGCAGCCCCTGTAGTAGCCGATGCCAGCTGGAGAGGGGCGGGGGGGAAGGGGGAGGGGAGAAGTTCTAGGGAAGGGGGCTGGATCGAGGGCAATAGGGCGGGGGGGGGCATTTAAAGGAACTAATGAGTCTTCCCCCCCTCCCCTCCTCCCGCTGCAGCTGAGAAAGTTGAAGCAAAGCCTCGAGAACGGGTTCATTTCGCTCCCCGGGGCTGCACTTGCCTAGTGAGTCCTGCATCAGGGAGGATCAATGGGATGTGTCAAGTCGCTTCTTTCAAGCTTCCCCACATCCCATTTTGGATTATTTCATCCTCCGGCAATTTCTGCAGGAGGGTGGAGGTTTTAGGGCGGCCCTCCATGTCTCTGCCTAACTCTTTTCATAAAGAGTGTGGCTGATCACTTCCAGAAAGCCATCCTAGCCGGAGATGTGTTTTGGTTGGAGCCCCATCGCTTTCCTGCATGGTTTGGAGGAGAGGTTAAAGAGTGAGGAATCATTTGCCGAATGACTAAAAAAAAAGGGGGGGGGGGAGAAAAAGGGGGGGGGGCTATAAAGCGTCTGGCTTTGTTTCTTTCAGAGCCTAATGCTCCCCCCAAATTACCTGTCTGCAACATGAGGTTTCTTGCCCATCTGCTTTGCTTTGGTTTCGTCCCATTTCAGTGAATTAATGTAACTAGGAAATCTGCGGTACAGAGCTGTGCTTTTTCACAGCAGGAAGGTCTTTTTCCCCTCTCCCCCCAGTTATACCTTTGCAAGGAGAAAAAGTTTAGAAATCCCTGCTGTATTCCTGAAAAGCTATGGGAACAGATGCTTGGGCTATACGGACACAGCAGAAAAAAAGCAGTAGCTTTCAGTGCCCTGCTAAGAGCAGAGTTATCATGCATGTCTGTATTGTATTCATCTTTACCAGGAGTTAAAAAAAAATGCCTGAAGCACCTGGGATTATAGGTGTAGTTACAGTTGCCTTTTCCCAACCTTCACTTGGAGAGTATTAATTTGCTTTAAAACAACCACCAATCCCTTCTCTTCCCCCCCCCCACCAAATATTGGCTTTGTAATTAAGGAGTCTTGCTTTGAACTGTTAATTTAAATAATAAACAAACTCAACCCCTAGCACTAAAAACCCCATAAAACATTCAAGGTCTTAGGGTCCTCTCCCAGCACTGGATAAATTTAAATTACTATTGACTAAATGATAATTGTTATCTAGTTTCTGTGTTTTACAAACTGGTTTTAGATATTAACAGTCAGACTGGTATCAAGTTAACACTTTAAGGGTACTATTTTAGGTGATGCAAGCAGAAGCAAATTGTTAAATTAAGATTCCTTTGTGGAGTTACAGAGTAAAGAAAACTAAACCAAATAATACTTTAGGTTCCCAACATCCCATACTATCTGGAATATGGTTTGTAAAGCTTGAGAAATATGACATACTTTTAAGACTATTAAATACATTCACCATGTAAAATAACTTCAAATGTATTGTGAAAGAAAAGCATAGTGCATGTAACCATTGATGCCTTTGTTAAAAATAATTTCATAATTATTTGTACAGTGATGGTAAAGTCACATAAATTTCACCTTGATATATTTCTTACCAAGCTTTGGTCTTATATTGGTGATGTTCATTTGAACACAGGTTCATTTTACAGCTTAATATAGCCCTAATTTCCAAAGTTCCAATGCTGTAAAGTATTTCAGTACCATTATTTTGAGGTTGAGGGTATTTCATAAATAGTTTTGTGTCAGATCATGGTCACTATTCACAAAATACTTAAATCAACTCCTATATATAATCTGAACACAGGAGGGCTTTTGAAAGAATGAATTTAGATATGTTGTCTAGTTCATAGTGGGAGACTTTGAAGTAAAATCTGGATTCCTGTCGCATCATTGTTAATCAGAGAATGAGAAGAAATCTGGGAAGTGTATTTTGTCACATCTGACATGCAGTGTAACACTTTTGCGTGTTTCTTCAGAGATACCAAGGGATTTCAGTTTTATATCTAGGTACATGTACTGCCGCTGATAATGCCAGTGGGGAGTATATGGAGGAATTACTAGAGCTGAAAACTGAGGTGTGTTCATATAGATGGATATAGATTAAATTAGCAAGTAAGTTATAATGTCAAGTTTCAAAGTAAAGATTTGTTGAACCTCATTTGTAGTTATGTTAATGCAGATGAGGTAACTTATTTCTTTGTGGTTACAAAACAGCATTTAATACCCAACAAGTTTCATAATTTAACCACTAGAGCTGGTAGAATGATTATATTTTCAAGGAATAATACATACTTTTTCTTTTTATGCATTATTGAGACTTCTGATTAAAGGACCTCTTTCCAAACACAGTGTACCTAAGTGTAAAATACCTAGGCATTTTTTTTTCAAATGTGAGCACCTCCACACTTGCATTTAATACTTAAGGCTGTAATAGTATTTTTCTTGTGGATTTATTGTTGCTAAGTAATTGCATTAAGCATAATACTCAATTAGAAGTAGATTATTAAGGACCAGTATGTTTTAGGTTTTACTTATTTCAAATAATAGTAAAATACTAAATGTTTATCAGTCTAATACATTACCACTAAGTGTGAAAAACAAGAAATCATTTCATTTAGTACTTTCGTAGAAAAAATTTGAGCACCATCTTGAAAAAATATTGTAAATTATAGGGCTACCAGTGAGCAAACAGTTGTATGTGTCTGTTTTAACTTCTGCAGTATTTTATTAGAAATGCCTCATTAAGTCACATTATTCTGTATCTGGCTTTTCATTGAAAATTCAAAAAATATGAAACTTTATTCATCAATGCACCAATGTTTCCCTTGTTAAATACTGAAAGTCAAAGAAAAAAAAATCTTCCAGAATCAACATACTAAAAACATTGAACATATTCTATTCTTGTGATTATACTGGTGGCATTTACAAATACAATCCATAAATATATATATTAGTCAAACATTATCAGATAAAGCAAATAAAGCAAACAAGAACTCTGCAATGATATGAAGGCCAGCACAACTGAAGACCCCACAAATCTAATTAATTTATGCTCAGTCTCACATGTGCAGTCTATATTTAAACATCTCACTTATATGAAAGGCTCTACTGACACTTCCATTGTTTTACAGCCATCAGTTTTTGTAACATTGTGTAAGTCTGGTAGAAATAGCATTTCATTTGAAAATACATGTACTTCAATTTCATTTTCCTTTTGAAACATTCTTAAAGAATGGAAATAGAAGTTGTGTTCAGATGGATATAGCAGAAGGATCCCCAATCAGCTCCTGGTGGATATTAACCTGTTTCTGCCCTTGACTTTGCAATTTAAGATAAATGGGATGGATTCTCAGCTGATGAAAACAGTCATAGCTTTAATTTAAATGGATGTATGACAATTCACACTGGCTGAGTATTTAGTATTTCTAGATCTGTTATTTTGGAGGATCGCTTAGGCAACAAAGATGTAAATGCAAGCAGTTCAATTTTGGCTCCCAATAAACTGGTCCTGTTTCTTATTTATTTGTGCTATGATATTGAGATGCATCTTAAATTTTGAACTATGCTGTATTCAACACACTTTAAGCAATACTTAGCATTCAAATTATAGACTAAGCACATGATTTAAAAAAAGATGCCTACCTACAGATCTGTGCCAGTTTACTTTAGCAGGGAATTAGTCCCAAGTTTTTTTGCAAATTCTAAGAATATATATTATAATATTATATTATAATTAAATCCTTTAAGATCAGATTTAAGTTTCAGCTAGCATGCACCTTTGATAATATGGCAAATAGTAACGTCACTACTAAAATAATCATTTCATTTTCCTTGTAACAGTCTGTAGACCCATTTCCTTCTGCTCCAGACTGAGCATAGAGGGGTAGTGATTCCTATGCTCAAATTCTGCAAATCAACATCTCCAGCCACTTCTTATCACTATGTCAGTTATTTTTTTTCTATCAGAGGAGAACACAAAATAATCACATGGCCTAAAGCACTCTTCCATGACTATAGTGCAAAGCTTTGTCACGTCCATAGATACACAATTCAATTGATTTTTGTATGCCTTCTTTCATGCAGCATCTCTCAAAACAACTTTAGAGGAAAAGAGATAAAATAATAATGAGATCATGCTTTACTGTAGTAGTTACAGTGGGACATTATCCTAAGCGTACTAAATGGAGAGAAGTATCCAAACAAGCTTTCTTAGTTAGCTTTGTCTTTTCTGGTGCATCAGAATGTGCATCTGCAGAATGATTTGTAGCAGGTGCAGGACATAGGACTTGTACACATTTTCTTTGAAAATTGTTTCCTATGGAGTTGATCTACAAACATCTACATGCTAGTAAGTTGCTCACGTGAGTTAGCACTGGCCGGAAAAGCTCCTGTTTCTTTTGCAGCATGGAAGTGGTTGCTTATATAATTGAATGCGTGTGAGATGAGAAATGGGGTTAACTTCCTGTTATAAAGGTCATTCAGCCTCATAATCTTTACCATGTTAATAGCTTATCTGTTCCAGTAGCTGCATTTGACATCTTAATGTTGACTTTCATAATATGAAACGTGAGTATGGGTTTCTTAACACTAGTATGCCACTGCATTAGCATTGTAGTTTGTGCATCTTACTCAACAATGATAAGAGAGAACGATAGATTGTGAATGATATTTGAAAACACAAAAGGCTTTTTAAAAAGCTGGATGGTGAGTAATCTCTTATGCCTACATCATGAATTTACGACAGGGAGAGCCACATCAACTCTGCAAATGAGTAATCCTTTTTTTCCATT